AAAAAAAAAAAAAAGACTAATGGCCCGGGGACCTTACCCCGCAGGGCCTGAGATTCCGGAGACATCTAGGTGCTTCAGGTGATGCCACATGGCCTGAGCTGCTGACAGGGCAAATGAGGTCTTTGGAGCCCTGCACATTTGGCTATAAGTTCCCCGTGCCTGACAATTCGTAGAATTGCCCACTGTCCTTAGACTTGAAGGCCAAGATCCTCACTGCTGAAGCCAAAGCTGGACTTACAGTGCTCAGAGACTCCATTCCTCAGAGTCCACTGGCCAAACTCCAAGACTCTGAGGATCAAAGACTCTCCTCACCCTAGTCCCTGGGCCTGAGCTGTGAAGGTCCTTGGAGGCTCGAAGTCTCCAACCCAGAGTTTAGGATTTACTCCATGGAAAGCCCTAGACCTGAATAGCTGACATTCCAACTCCCCAAGGGAACTGAGAACCTTAAGTTCGTGGGCCACTGGATTCCATTAATCCCAGTCCCCAGACTGTCATCTCCCAAATTCTCAGCATTTCAGGTCCTCAGAGTGAAAGGTCCTGAGAATTGATGTTCACGAGGACAAAGGTCCTTCAGTCAAGAGTCAAGGGAGGGCCAGGCACAGTGGCTCATGCCTGTAAGCCCAGCATTTTGGGAGGCCCAAGGTGGGCAGCTCACTTGAGGTTGGGAGTTCGAGACCAGCCTGGCCAACATGAGGAAACCCCGTCTTTACTAAAAATACAAAAATTAGCCAGGCTTGGTTTGCACGCCTGTAGTCCCAGCTACTCAGAGGCTGAGGCAGGAGAATTGCTTGAACCTGGGAAGCGGAGGTTGTGGTGAGGCAAGATTGTGCCACTGCACTCCAGCCTGAGTGACAGAGTGAGACTGCCTAAAAAAAATAAAAATAAAAATAAAAAAAGAGTAAAGGGAGGAGGGCTCCAAAGCATGTGCCCCGGATCTTGAAATCCTCCATATCTAAGATCCCTGGAACCTGAGAGCCCTGAGAGGGTCTTCCTGTCATGCGAAGGACCCTACATGGGGAGGGAGGCCTGCAAACTCCAAGAATTTGAGCCTAACAGGCTGAGGTCCTTAGTCTCAACATGTGAAGACTAAGACTGTTGGGGACTACACTCTGTTCCTACACTAAGGTCCCAGTCCATGGTTCTCAGGTTCTAAGGGCTTGGAAGGTGGACTTGAGACCAAAGAAATCTCAAAACAGGAGAGGCAGCTTTGAGGACCTTGAACCTCAGTTAGCTGAACTGAACTGACCTCAGGAACCAAGTTTGGAGCCTTGAAAAGATATCAATCTTTTTTTTTTTTTTTTTTTGAGACAGAATTTTGCTTTTGTTGCCCAGGCAACAAAAATCGTGCAATGGCACGATCTCGGCTCACTGCAACCTCCGCCTCCCAGGTTCAAGCGATTCTCCTGCCTCAGCCTCCTGAGTAGCTGGGATTACAGGTGTGCGCCACCATGCCTGGCTAATTTTTGTATTTTTACTAGAGACGGGGTTTCACCATGTTGGCCAGGCTGGCCTGGAAGTCCTCACCTCAGGTTATGCACCTGCCTCTGCCTCCCAAAGTGCTGGGATTACAGCCATGACCACAGTGCCCGGCCCTATCAATCTTTTAAATAGGTCATAACAAAGGGCATCCATCAACCCAAAGATTCTCCAAGGAAGCCAAGTCTCTGTCTATGGATGGAGGAGGAGTCAACCAGGAGAATTCAGCCCCTGGAGCTGCACCCTGGGCTTTCCTGGGGAATCAAAAAAATGTTTGTAGGCCAGACATGGTGGCTCACGCCTATAATTCCAGCATTTTGGGAGGCCAAGGTGGGAAGATTGCTTGAGCTCAGGAGTTCAAGACCAGCCTAGGCAACATGGCGAGAGACCCTGTCTCTACGAAAAACAAAAAAATAAAAACTATCCAGGTGTGGTGGCACACACCTGTAGTAAAAATTACCACCAATGCCCCAGAAGAAAATCACTTTATAGACTGCCACAGGAAAAACAACCTCTTTTACAAATAAAGTCACAAATATAAGTTACAAATAAAGTCACAAATATAAGTTACAAATCACACAAAGAAATAGTCACCATGAGGGAGAGTCTGAGAGGCCCCAGCTAGGAAAACTCACTTCTGAAAAATGGCATCAATGACAGACCAGAGAGACCAAGTTGCTGAGATCCTCAGCCTGGGAGCAGTGTAGACAACACCCTACTCTCTGTCTTGGAGGCCACGGAACTGGCCTGGAGGTCACTGACAGCCTCACCCATCGAGGTCCCCAACTCCTATGGTCCCCAAAGCTGAAGTGTACCTGGCCTAAGAATCTCAGTGACTGAGTTCCTCTCAGGTGGCTTTGAGCAGCACGGACTTGGGGAGTGGGCTCTGCCCTAGGCATCCAGCTTGGACCTCAGCCTCACCTGGCTGAAGCTGGGCTCGTACTCCACACGGCCCTTACTGTTGACATGCAGGATGGGGGCTGCAATGGCCGCTCTCAGGTCAAAGCCAAGCCACAGCTTGTTCATGATGGCCTGGGGGAGAGATGAGGGATGCAGGGAGAAAGGGGGTACCCGCTACCCTACATCAGCCCTCACATCCCCACTCCAGGGAGAGTCAGACAGTATGCTGCCCAGAGAGGAGACACTGGAGCCCAGAGCCCCCCCAGACTCACCTGGGCCACGGCAGAGATGATGAGCTCCCCGCCAGCCCCGCCAATCACTAGCTTCGACCCCTGGGCTTTGCTGATCAGGATGGAGGGCACCATGGAGGACGGGGACCGCTCGCCTGGAACTGGGGGCCAGCACCCTCCGGGAGCTCCACCCACCCTGTCTCCATTCACTGCTGAGCAAACAGCGGCTTAGCGAGTGCAGTGACCCATCCAGGGGTCAGCATGCAGCCCCAGCCCAGCCCCCTCTCTCCTCTCCCCTGGTGGGGGGCCCTTGTGGACCCCGGGTGGGAAGCCTTGTTCTCACCAGGTGAGGGGGTGGTGCCGGAACCCCGGGGGCATCGCTCGCATAAGTCCAGGAGCTCGTTGTTGAGGATGATGCCTGTCCGTGGTGAATACACCATCGCTCCAAAGCTGCAGCCGTGGAGGCAGAGCCTGGGCTCCCACCAGACACCGCCTGCCCTGCCCACCTTGCAGGACCCCCTCACTTTACAGCTGCCCCGAAGCATGCTGGAGCCACTATTCTCTCCCTGGCATCACCCAGGAGGGGTCCCCAAAGACCCACCTGTGCCCCCATATCAGGGCACCCTTCTGAGTGAGGCCGCCCATTCCCAGGTAAGTCTTAGCTCGGGGCCACCCCAGCAGCAGCCTTTCCAGCCAGAGATGTCAGGGGTGGGGGCCTCTTTTGAAACAGAGGAGGAGACAAAGGGCAAAAGCAAGGTCCTGCCCCATGGGGACAAGTGAGGGGACATGGGGCTGGGGGAATGCAGGTCTAGGAGAGGAGGAGTGAGACCACCAGCCTTCCCCCAGGCCCCACGCACGGTGTGTTGATGGTGCTGGTGGCAGCCACGGCACTGCCATCCTCCCCCAGCACAGACACATGGGATGTGCCTGTCCCGTGGCCCCAGGCCTCGGCCAAGCTGTAGTGGCTGAGCTGGTGGTCCCCCCGGCCATCGATCTGTTGGCGGATGAGCTGGGCCAGGGTCTCCCCCAGCAGGTCCCGGGAGGCATTCTGGGGTGGGTGGGCAAGTGGCAGGATCAGTGAGGGGCCAAGTGGGATCCATAGAACCAAGGGCAGGACAAGCTCAGCCCCCATGGGAGCCACCTGCAGCCTGTCCTCTACCTTGTGGCCAGGCCTCCCTCAAGCGCAGGCTAAGTCTAGACTCTGCCCACCCTCCAGGTCCTTTGAGATATGGTGCCACTCCTGCATCTGACCCCCGTACCTGCCACCCCGGGATCCCTTTCAGTCCTGCCCTGGCCTAGAACCACATACATCTCTCTCCAACCTCCCCCTGCCGGGCCTGCCCTCCCTTCATGCTAAGTCCTGAGCCAGGGAGGAGGACAGCCCGCCAGCCCAGCAACCTCAGCAACCTCACCTGGAGCTTCGGGTGGCTGCGAGGGTCCCCCAGCCTCCACCTCTGCCCCCTGGCAAACTTGAGCGTCTCCACAAGGTGGTGGTACATGTTCACCCTCCCCTCAGGCCTGGCCACAGACTCTGCTGAGAAGTTGAACCCTGGAGAGGGGTCGGGGCACAGGTTGGGGTCACCCTATGTAAAGGATTGAATGTTGCCCCCCTCCCCAGAGAGCTCCACCCACATCCTAATTCCCAAAACCTGTGGATACCACTTACACAGCACAAGAGTGACTAATACCTTAAGTGGAAAAGTATGTTAACGATTTTTTTTGAGACAGAGTCTCACTCTGTCGCCCAGGCTGGAGTGCAATGGTGCAGTCTCAGCTCACTGCAACCTCCATCTCCCAGGTTCAGGGGATTCTTGTGCCTCAGTCTCCTGAGTAGCTGATACTACGTGCGTTCGCCACCACGCCCAGCTAATTTTTTCTTTTTTTGTATTTTTAGTAGAAACAGGGTTTCGCCATGTTGTTCAGGCTGGTCTCAAACTCCTGGCCTCAAGTGATCTGTCTGCCTTGGCCTCCCAAAGTGCTGGGATTACAGGCATGAGCCATCATGCCCCGCCTTTTTTGTGTTTTTTGGAGGAGTCTTCCTCTGTCGCCCAGGCTGGAGTGTGTGGCGCGATCTCAGCTTACTGCAATCTCCACCTCCTGGGTTCAAGTGATTCTTTCGCCTCAGCCTTCTGAGTA